CAAGTCAAAACCCGAAAAACCAATAAAAGCCACTGGCGGCCGAGTCACATCAAAACGACACCATTTGGTGGCTCGGCCAAGGCCGAGCCACCGGGTGACAATCGGCCAGATTTGATGATTTGTTGGTTTTGACGGTTTTTTCTTAGGATTTGTTTGTTCCTGAGCGTTCCAACTGATCTGATACTATGGTTAATCAGTTCTTAACTGAAGATAAGGAGGAATCCCTCGTTCTTATCCAAATACCCGCTTCCGAAGCTTATGAATATGAGCTCGGGTGCTCATTTCTCATAAAGGGATCAAGAGGGCGAAGCGCTGCCGAATTGGAGAGTGGAGCCACGAATTTACAGCAAGGGTTAGAAGATTTTGGCGATCTCCTGTGCATAAAGAGTGGAGTTCGAGAGATCTGAGACCCGTCCCCTATTCCTCCGGATTTAAGCTTGGTCTTAAATCTCGAAAAGAGCCGTGATCTCGCTTGGTCGAGATCACCGCTACAGCGATTACTTCCTTCGTGAAGTAAGAGCTTTGATCACCAATCTGTCAACCGGATCTGATCCGTGACGGTCCACGGATATTAACGTCCCCGGCACAGGCAAAGTTCCCATGCAAACAGCGGGTGATAAACGTCCGTTGCGCTGTTTGAAAAGAGTCGTATCTTTTGTATTTTCATTGTATAAGGAGATCTTATAAAAAGATCAACTTTTTTTATTTGAGTTTATTGTAAACGATTAAAGTTATAATAGATTCAATCACAATGAAAACAGCGATTTTTCACCCAAACACTTATGAGCATCGACGTGTTAGAAAAGTACTTTTGAGACTTCAAAATTAAAAGTACGTAAACTTAGCAAAGTGATAATAAGCCACCAAAAAGCCAAAAGGAATTTTTCTATTTAGTCCCTTACATGTCTTACATTTAGTTTGTCCTTCAAATAATTAAAATTATTATTAAGTCCTCCAATTTTTATGCTATATTCAAATTAGTCCCGCAATTCATTAAAATTGCTATTAGGTCCTTTTATTCTTAAGCATTAATCTTTCAATCAATAGTAGACTTAGCAATTATAGAGATCTATTCGAAATAACCTATGAGAATTGAGGGGTCTACAGAATTGTCAATGTTCGATACAATTCTCTATGTTTACAAATCAATTCCTCATTCACTAAGCTTCTTGGGAACCAGATTGAAAATAAGCTACCAAAATAACCTAAAGGGCTCTCTATATTAGTCCCTAAAATCATTCTTCCAATTATTGAAACTATTATTCGATCCCCTAGTTCTTAAGCTATTTTACATTTAGTCCCTCAAAACATTAAAATTGCTATTAGCTTTCCTGATTCTTCTTAGGGCTTGTTTGGATTGAGGGGAATAAGGGTGAAGTGAAGTTAGGGGAACCATTCACCTCCATTCATCTTGTTTGGGAATATTTAGAAGGTGAAGTTATTCATCGTAGTTCCCCTTGGTTCACCCCCTAATAGTATAAAATTTGTTACCCCCCAAATTGGGTTGTAACCAAGGGGAAGGGAACTCTTTTCCCTTCCCTTTCATTCTCTCACCTAGTTTCCCTTAACTTCCCTTCACCCCCTACAAATCCAAACAGGCTCTTAAGGTATTTTAAAATTAATCATTCAAATTAAGAGTGGAATTAATAATTGGGGAGGACTATTTGAAACAAATTATGACAATTGAGGGTGTAGTGGAAACTTCATTAGAGGACAACTCTTATGGAGTACGCCCGCTCGACGCATGAGCTCTCTGACTAGTCTTTTGAAAGTACCCTGTTGATTGGGCAGCGTCCAGAGTTTCTGCCGAAGACGCCAGAAGGGCTGCATCGTAAATATCAAGGGCGTTGTTTGCAGATCAAAAGAATACGAGACGCTTCTCGGTCATTTTCGTCAACACAAATAATATCTCAGAATGACAAAAATACCCTTACTCGGCAAAAAATAAAATGCCCCTCGACTCGAGATGACCTAATCGACCCCAACCTTTCACAAAAATCCCCCAAAGGACTTTCGCTCCCCCTAGCCTCTCCTTCGATCTCTCTTTCATCCCCTTTCTCCAATGACCCCCAAAACCCTAGATTTCATTATCAATTTTCAATAAACGGCCTAAAATTCTCGCCCCTTTTGGCGCCACAAGATGATATATCTGATCAGGTATTTCCTTCCAACTTTTGCCGAAAACCCTAATCAAAATCCTTTTCTTTTATTTAATCGTTTCTTTTTTTTCTTTAATTGAGTTCTTTTGGATGTTCACCATGTTCTGAATTTGTAATGGATCGTTTACTTTTTCTAGTAAAGTTAGCTTTTTTTTTATGCGGAAAACCCGTAAGTAGGAGGCTATGAGTGTAAATTTAACTGTTTTGTTGCCTGAAAGTGTAATTTTGACTATCAATCAATCTGCTGACTAGTGACAATTTACCAATAACTTATTTGATTTCCTTTTTTCTCTTAAGAAGAAAAGAAAGTTTAGCTGCTGCTTCATTCTCTCTATTGATGGAAAACAAAGAAAATACTGCAGTAAGTTGGGTTGTTGATATTTAAGTCAACACCGATTGATAGCTATAGCTGTTGCTAGATGGGGCTAAAAGTTTGGTTTACAGACGAATGGCTCTTTTGGTTGTGTCCCAAGTGGGTGAGTTTGAAAACAAATGGGGATACAACTTTGAGTTTATAAGCAAAAGAATAACAGTTTAAGCATTTTATTATAATCCACCATAGACCTAATCTTTTGGAACAAAAATATAGCAACTTATAACAATATAGTAACTGATATTGTATAACAAACTACTGAAATACAAAGTATGTTCAAAATTAATTTTATGGAATGTTTTAACGCCTCGTTTGGTACGAGGGAATAGAGTCAAGTGAGAATGGAATGAGGGGTTGTTTGGTTGGTTGAGAAACTAAGAAAAGGAAATCAAAACACCCAACACACCCATGTGAAGGTGTTTGATTTCCTTTTCTTGTGTTTGGTTGAGAGAAGAAAAAAAGAGATGTTGTGCATGTAGGACCCACCCACTAGTAAGATAATAGTGCCATGAGTCCCAAATTTAAGGAAACTCATTTTCTCCCCAAAAAATCATGAAATGATTTTGAAAATATAAAAATGGGTCCCACAACCTATTTCCATGAGTAATCTTCCAAAATTGGGTTTCTAGAAAATGAACCAAACAACCCCTGAATGTAGGAATAGAATTGAATTGATGTGGGAATGGAATGCTCATTCATATTATTATGTTTGGATGCGATTAGAGAATTATGTGGGAATGTCTTTAAGAAGGGTATATCCAAAATTTATTTTATTATTTTTATTCTCACTTAAGTGGGAATATCAATTTCTTGATAACTCATTGGGAATAGCAATTCCCACATTAAGTGGGAAATTATGAGAAGTGAGAATGATATTTCTAACTCTCTCAAACACATCATGTTTGGTAAGCATGAATGAGAAGTTAGACTTTCATTTCATTCTCACTCATGCCCGCGTACTAAACGAGGTGTGAGTGTAAGAGTGATTTGGGAAATGGGTGGGTTTAAGAATAAATGGGGGTCAAACTTTGAGTTCATAGACAATTTATCCTTCCTGGAAGTGGACACGTTAAAAATAGATAGGTATAAACCGTTATTTATAGGCAAAACCACAAAAGACTCTTTGAAATGGCTTTAAAATAAATTGGGGTAATTTTGGGTTTCCATATAAAAACCTATTAAAATTCTGGAAGTGGTGGGTTTAAAAATAAGTAGGGTAAATCTTTGGGTTCGCTGGGAACCCACTTTAGAAGTGGGTGTATTAAAATAAATCAGGGTGAAACTTTGGGTATATAAATTTGGGGTAAAAGTTTTTTTATAGGCAAAAGACTCTAAAAGTGGGTGGATTTAGAAAGAAATTGGTGGTAAAACTTTGGGTTTATAGATAAAACCCTAGTAAAATTTTGGAAGTGGGTGGGTTAAAAAATGAATGGGGTAAAGCTTTGGGTTTACAGGCAAAACCGACTTTGGAAGTGGGCGTATAAAATTCAATTGGGGTAAAACTTTGGGTTTAAGTAAAAAATAAAAATATTAAAAAAAGATATGCCTGCGCTGTGGCTCAAACTCCGTAGTTCTCACAACCATTTGAACAGTAGTTCCACTGTGACAATTTAGAGATTGGTCAGATTTCTCTTATGGGGCTGTTTGGTTGTTTTCCGAAAAAAATCGGAAATGGAAATGTCACATTTCATTTGCTTTCATCACATTTCAAGACATTTCCCAGTTTTCTTTTTTTCTTTTTGTTTCGCAAAGAAATCACCACATTTCACCGCCATGTCACACTAAAAACAAAAAAAGCCGCAATAGTAACAGTAGAATAGATTTCCATTTCTTGTGTTTGTTTGTGAACAAAAAAAGAGAAATATAGGTCAGCCGTAATAGTAACAGTAAAATCAGCATTTAAATAATCTATTTTATTCTCTTATACTATTTCAACAGTGTTTTTATTAATTAAAGATTCATAGAAGTGACATTTCCAAGTGTTTTCAGAGGTTTTTGGTGTGAAAACACATTTCTTAAAATTTGACATGGCATCCTACGTGGCATCCCCTTTTCTTAAAACTCAAAATGAAACAAACATGTGAAATGGAAAACGGTTGAAATCAAAATCTGAGGTGGCAGGGGGGGATTTCCTCAAAGGTGACATGGCGGGGGGTTTCTCATTTTTTTTGGGCAAACAAACAGCCCCTATCTGTACTGCAGCTAACACTGTTATTTATTTACAGTCATTTTTCTGTTACATAATTAAAAATAAAGTATTTTATACGCACAACGAATGTTAAAATCGATGTTTTCTTCTTCAGTAGACTAACTTCACAAATTCTATTTCATTATTTGCCTGGTAGGTCCTTTTCTGCATAAGTATATGGATGGTTGTGTGGTTATCCAAGAACTAGAGTTGATGAAGGAAGAAAGCCACATGATATTGTAGCATTCAAGGATCTTCATGCTTATTTTTACTTTGATAAATGGAGGACTACAACTTTATCGTTGGGCAGCAATTTTCTGATGTCAAGGCTTTCCGAAAGGCTATAAAGGATGCTGCTATAGCCCAACACTTTGAACTAAAGATAATAAAGAGCGATCTGATTCGCTATTTTGCCAAGTGTGCCAAGGACGGCTGCCCTTGGCGAATCCGGGCAGTGAAGCTTCCCAGTGTTCCGACCTTCACCATAAGAGCCATCGAAGGGACACACACTTGCGGAAAAAATGCTCAGCTTGGCCATCATCAGGCATCTGTAGATTGGATTGTAAATCTTATAGAGGAGAGACTGAGAGACAATATGAATTACAAACCGAAAGATATATTGCAAGATGTTCAGAAATTGTACGGGATCACAATACCATATAAGCAAGCTTGGAGAGCGAAAGAAAGGGGTTTGGCTGCTATTTATGGTTCTTCTGAAGAAGGATATTGCCTTCTTCCTTCATATTGCGAGCAAATAAAGCAAAGTAATCCAGGCAGCATCACACAGTTATTTACGAGCGGGTCAGATCATAGATTCCAGCGTCTGTTTATTTCCTTCAATGCATCGATTTATGGTTTTCTGAATGGGTGTTTGCCTGTAATAAGCTTTGGTGGTATACAGCTAAAAAACAAGTATCTTGGTAGCCTACTCTCTGTGACATCATTTGATGGTGATGGTGGGTTGTTTCCGGTAGCTTTTGGTATTGTCGATGTAGAAACTGATGAAAGCTGGATGTGGTTTGTATCCGAGTTCCACAAGCTGCTTGAGGTGAGCACAGATACTATACCTCATCTTACTATCCTATCAGATTCTCAGAATGCAATTGTGAATGCTTTGAGGAGAAAATTTCCTACAGCTACTCATGGCATATGCATGCGATATTTAACTGAAAGCATGAACAAGGAGTTCAAGAATTCGAGGCTCGTCCATCTCCTA